TTGAAAATCTGTAGCCGAGTATCGACAGCGTAGTAGTATTGTATTTGTTGTACTTGTACGGATTTGAATAGCAAATCCTTGCAGTGTTGAGTTATGGCTTTTGATAATTTCACGCGGAAGCGTTCATCGCATCGCGAGTTTCATTTTCGAGAAACTCGTTGTTCCAGTTTTCAAGGATAGTAATGGAATTAGATTCTAGGAGCTCTGAACAGTATCTCGAGCTTTCAGAGTAGCTCTGATTCAACTCCTGATATCATGCGTTTCATCACGGCACTCGAGAATAGATCTGGAGGATCGAAAATGGCTGTTGCTATCCAGCGAGAAGTGGATTCCGCGTAAACGGTCCTTGAAACGAAACGCCAGCATCGAGACGAGTTGCCTGCGAGCGTTAGATATTAGCTTATTCCCGCCGACGTTTAAAATAATCGCCACGGAGGAAGAAAATATGATTCATTCAAGGGAAAAAGTAGAAACGTAGGCGACCTTCTTCCACGAACGATTTCGCGAATGCAGGCGCGGATTTCTTTGATAGCCGGCGCTCGGAACAGAGACGGAGGCTGAAAGAGCGACTGTGCTCGAAAACGTTCGGTAAAAACCGTAGGCCTTCGCGGACCCTGAGGGGAGGCGTGTTCCTCTCACAACGCCGCCTTGAAACAAAGTCGATTACCATGACGTCGTTAACGAGATTTCGCGGAAACGTTAAAAAGACGACGGTCAAGGGTGTCGGTCGGCGGACGTTGATAATGCCCGGCCTGTCCGCTTTCTCTGGGAACGGTACGGGACGATTAAAGTCGCATCAGGAGAGGGTTATCGAGCCTGTTTCGCGAATGGAGCCGATGAAACACTCTCCGCTGTATTTTCGGCCGCGGCGCGAATGTGATCTGACTAAACAAGTGGAGCGTCGTTTAGAAGCAGCGTAAATATACGGCGGGAAAGGAAGTGGCACACGGAGATGTGAGCAAATTTACAGTCTCCCCTGCTGCTATCCAAGCTGGCCTGAACATTCGCTACAGCGAGCCCCAGGGCCACTACTGTATCGTTTCGCTTCACATTTTCTGGAAGGAACGATGATAACGTTATAGCTACAGTGTTCCTCGCGGACAGTCGCGTTTATTTGCTTAGCGATTCCCTCGGTGAAACAGCCTGCACCATTCTGTATCTGCTGGTTTGTCGAAACGATTGGTTTCCCAGTGATACTTGATGGCATTCTAATTTCTGGCGACAGACTCAAGGAGCATCAAACACGGTGCTCTTCGTTTTAAGGATTAGAAGGACACATTTGTAATAATATTTTTAATCGTTTCTCTTGCAAGTATCCTCATTGCTGCAACCACAAATCAAGGAACCAGTAAGCAAATCTTATGATACTTTTAAGGTTCACGACAGGCAAAAAGAATGATCGATCCAAGTTAAGAACTTATGAGGAAAAATCTGAGTATTCCTATACTTTGTTCACCCACTGAACATTGTGGATGTACCACAATTCTTAAGAAGAGAACGCAATGTCCCATTCCAGTCGTTGACGACCGATCACCGTCCCGAATCCCGCGCTTTGCACCTGCAGCGTAGACTCTCGCGGTCTTCTATTTGACATTTTTCGTATCCCGTTCTGCGGCCGACAGTCTCGTCGGGTGCCTGGCCGGATTCCAGGGATATAAATTGTCGGGATTTCGTTGTCTCCGATACTTTGCCGCCCCTCTCGAGAACTTTCCTGCCTCCGTCAGCTCCGATGCCCCGGCCCCCGTTGAAACCGAACGAAACAGATTTCGCAACCGGTTCTTCTTCGATCGCGCGCGCGGATGTTCTGCAATTATCCGCGGTTTCGAATCGTTGTTGCACGCTCTCCTGTGTTTCTCGGCACGAGCGAGCGCTCGCGCACGTGTTCCATAGGCGAGATTGCGCAACGATAGAGAAAGGAACACGGAGTAATGGAAATCGTGAAAGTTTCGCGGTGCATTTGCGCGACCGGTCCCGCCACGAGTCTCGCCGCCTTCCCTGTGAATCAAAGGTTACAGCCGGAAAAGGTGATTTGCCGCCACCGTTTTTCCGCCGCGGCGAATCCGCGTCTGCCCCTCTGTGCCAGCTCGCTTCGCGGAAAGACGAGACGCGAAGTAATGAGCGTCGAAGTGGCCTCGCCGCGCGAATAATGAATTTTTCCGCGGCTCTTTTGCCGCCGCGCGACGCGACACCGTCGCCCCGTTTGCTCGGCAAAAGGACTTTCCGTCCGGGTAAATGCGACTCACAGTCATCTTCTTGCATTACGCGGCCGACTACCAAGTGATTATTTAGGAATTAGAAGTACGAGAAACTCGGAACCCACAAGAAGAAAGAACAGGGATACGTCCGCTAAATATTCCTTGATTATTTCGAATCGCTTTTGAAAGGAGAAAAGAATATTGTATTTAGCGAATACCAAAGATTGCCCGGTGAAAAGACTTTTCGCAATAGGCAAATGCGACCATCTTCCCGCATTACGTGTCCGACTACTGGAAGATTGTTTAGAAATTAGAAATACGATGGAAGTCGGAAGCTGCGGGAAAAAGGAGAAAACAATTGTGCGCCCGATAAAAGTTGCCGGATTATTTCGAATCGCTGCTTAAGCGCGAAAGGAATACCGCGCTCGAAAAATAATGAAAATTACCCTGAAACGCTATCGCCACCGCTAACGATAATCTTCACACATGCCGCTGCAGCGGCCGGATAATCTCGCGCGGCACGGGCTTTCCGCGGAATCGGAATCCGTTCGGTACACCTTCGATAATGGTCCCGGTCGGCTGTATCTCGTGCGGCGTGCGCTAATATATGCGCGTAATAACGACGCGCTATGGGCGCAATAATGAAGCTTCGATATTACACGCGAGACCAAAACCCGGATTCCGATCGCGGCGAACATCTTCCGTGGCGCCGGGACCAAGCGCATGGCGGGAAGTGGCAAGGGTCTGATTCTTACGCCGGGAAACGATTACGAAGAACGATCGTTTTATTCTACGAGAACGTCAGGAAAGTAAACGTTATTGCTAGCGATCCTCTAATGATCTCTCGAAGAACCAGAACGAACGAAGAATTTCGATTTTTAATCGGCGCCAATGGAATGCTAATAAAACGTTTATACGTCCATTATACCGCGTGACCTCCTGGTATTGGGATCAATATTTACCATTTGTATTACAGTCGCGTGTCTTTTTTCGGTTGCCCTGTGCGCGCGCGTGTATGTATGTGTCCTCGGGCAAACAGAATTTGAAGACGGGAACAGTCGGTGTTATTTGCACGCAGCGGTACGAGAAGCGAGCGTGTATGGCCCGAGACATCTGCAGTCTGCGGGCGCAAGGTCCTGTCGGTTTCGCCATCGCCGACGGAAATGGCGACGAAGCGCCCGATCAGCGACGCAACGATGTTAGTCATCGGCGTAGCCGTAAAAATGGAGAAATATTTGCTCGAAGTGTTTGATCGCGGGCGTCGTCGAACCTGAGCACAGGCGCGGACAGGGAAAACGAAAGAGGGGAAGAAACGTGGGAGTGAAGGAAAAATATGAAACCCGGGAATGAGGCGTGCGATCGAACGTAAACGGACTTAATTTCTGTTCAACGGGGGCATCTTTTGTCACGCGAGTATAATTGCGCGAGTGCGTCGGACCGTAAAGAGAAAATCGTTGGAATAAATCCTGTATTGGATCGAATTTGATCCATTATTGCGAGCGGATTAAACGTCCGACACGGTTCCCTGGATTTAAAAATAAATCTGGTAAAAATTTAATGAACGCCTTTGTTACTTCCATCCGCAGCGAAATACGGGCTCGTAAGATTAATAAATTTTAATTTGCCGATATTATTGGCTCGCGTCTTAATGTTATATTTTATTTTATAAAAGCCTAGCAATTCGTCCTTTCAACGATTGTGGTATAACGGAGAACTTCTTTGATATTTATATAACGCGCTTATTAGCGAGGGCGATATTAATAGAGCATAATAATATCTTTATTGCATCATATAAAGCAATCAAGGAGATTTCACTATTGCTGTCGCAATGTCTAACCTATATAGATTAATCATAATCTTGAAGATGCTAGAAGATAATCAGTAGCGCTCTGGAATTAACATAAACTAGTCGAAAGATATTCGAAACCAAGAAACGGCAAAAAGTGGAGACAGAAGGAAAACAAAAGATAAACATAGAAAAGAAATGATCAGGCTCATTACCGTGAACAAAGAAGAAAGCCTCGTTCGATCGTTGGGTCGAATAACATTCGCACGCTCTTTCGCACGTTATAATTCGAATAATCGAGGTTCTATGCATTTCCATAAACTCCGCGCTCGACACAGATAGAGCGAGCGAGAAAGAGAGACGCGTTCCGCGTTCGCCTCGATCGAGTTTGATTCAGCCAGTTCGAATGATGGCCGTTGCGCGGCGCTGGTTGCGCAGTGGCGCTGCACGCCGATGGCGCCGGCTAGGAGCGGGATCGTCAGTCGCAGAGGGACCACGCTCGGTGGCGGTCGTGAGTTTGTTGCAAGAGAGAAAGAACGTGTACTAGGACGAAGGAGCTGAAGACAGAAAGGAAAAGAGAGATATACACTCACAAAGGAAGAGAAAAGAGATAGCCGTCGAAAGAGAGTGCGAG